ATTACTTTACTTTGTTACAATTTGTGTTGACATGCATCATCAGATTCCTACTACAGGCAAGCATTCAATACTATACCCGAAACAAGGATGCCTGGCCATATGTATTCAATGTAAAAAATAATCCGAATATTCTACCTGCATTTACAGATCAGGTTTATTCAATTTTCAAGGCTGTTCGAATTGTAGTATCAATATAAATTTAACCAAAGAGTGGCGAATATTTATTTCCCTACAAATTTCACTGTGTTTGGCTCGGTAATCAAATGAAGAAAAACAATATCGTTGTGTGGAACAAAACAGTATTGCTGACCGTGATTATTCAAAAACAAGTTATCAATCAGATCCCAAGAATGAATGAGATACAGATCAAGCAAGTATGTGAATCTTGAAGGCGTTCCTGATCAAAAGAAAAATACTCAACTTACAATTTGGTGTATTTATATCTCCAGCATGGCTATGAAATAACAAATCACGTATGCGTCCCAACCCATAACAATGTTGTTTATTCTTGATGACTAGTTCCACTTTAGCTCCTAGGAAATAGATTTGCCTAGCAACATACCTATGTTTGTGTCAGTAAAGGGCTTTCCCGTTGGGTTCATAGTTGCGCAATACTTGGTAACAATGTCGTGCCAAAACTGCACATCGAAAAATACTAGTAACTTTCGAAATGGGCGAACCGCGTTATCGATTTAAGTTGGCAAAACTGTACACCGATGCCAGATTTGTTTGAGATTTCTAGAAGCGATTTGTTCTGATATTATATTTTGTGTTGTCCGAATGATCCAAATATGATTTGTCTGAATTACAGAGAGTAGCTGCTGCATTAAAAATAAGTATCGCTACTGTATGGAAAATATCTGCCAAACAGGAACATGGTTATGATTTGGATGGCCCCAAAAACACTAACTAACACTAGACATATCCATATTCGGGCGGTTAGTCATTCAGTCATTTCCTTTCAACTGGCAACACTGTATGTGTTGACATATTGACGTCACTATCGACTCAGCGTGAACGCCCTTCAATATAAACGTCATTTCAAGAGCTAATTTTTGTATTAAAATGGACTTTTGTGTCGGTTGCAGAAGATTATTTCTCCATTCAGATCGTTTTCTGCGATTATCTCAAAAAGAGTTTCCATCAGTCCTAGTACTTGAACCCAAATCTTGACATACAAAAATCGATTAATGAAAAAATGGCCAGACTTTTGTTATTATTGTATTAAAATAAATTGGTCCAAAATCATCCCACCTAACCACCCGTTCAGTTTTTTGCACCAACTGCCAAACCACCAGTACTTTAAAAAATATCAATTCATAATATCACACAAACATAGCAGCACAAACAATACTCAAAGTTGAGAGTAAACTTCTGAACAAACTATGAAATTACAGGGTGGGCAATTATCGATGTTTGTAGCTGGTGGAATACAAAAATATTAAGTGACATTCATGAACACTTATCTTGAAACAAATCAACTAGCGGAAACGAAAATTTGCTATCGCCATTCAAGTTCCATCCACACATTGAAATTTGTCCATCCTGTACAGGGGAGGAAAATTGATGAATGCAAAAAGTGGAGGCGGTTCCTCTTCATATTTTATGAAAAATGAGATATGTGTCATTTGAGTTGAAAGTATTGTTTTTTTTTGTGAACACCCTGTATATGATTCAATAATCAATAAATTCAGTATTGGTTAGTGACAGATAGTATCTCGAAATTTCAGAATTGAACTCATTTTGGTTTTCGATCATTGTCAATAGATCTCTTGAGTGCAGCTTATACAGGGTGATTATCAAGTCCTTGTACAAATTTCAAGGAGGCTACGCCACTGATATCATCGTTTATGATCTCTAATTACATCAAGAGAAACTGCTGGTCACTGTTGATGAAAAAGAAGCAAAAGTTTTTGGATCTTAATTAAACAAAAAAAATTCCATAAAATATGAACAGAATCACCGCACCCCGTAAATTTATTTGCACTGATTCAATTCTCCAATGTTTCTATTTAATTGAAAAGTATATCCAAAATGATTTAAACGGGAATACAAATTCGAATAAAAGAAAAAGTAATTTTACTATCGACATATTGACTTACTACTTATGTCAAAACACGTATATATGTTTTCGAGGAGACATGTTTTTTCTCTTAGAATCGTCTACAATGTGGATTCACAAGAGAAAATACCAACACTTCATAATATGTACCAGGAATCCGAGATACATTCCACAATCGCAAAATTTTGGTGAGATTGAAAACAGAGTCACTAAATTAAACCCAAATTACTAATTACTAAATATTTGCTTGTCATGATCAAAAACAGCCAAAATGAACAGAGTGTCTCAAAGGGTTCGTTCATTCTCAATTTTATTACGTTTTCAGAGACATAATGATAAAATTGGTGAGGAAAATGTGATTTATTATTGATATCATATGTTTTTTTAACTTTCATTTCGACCGGAAACAACACCTTCCGATTTTTTTATGACACGCCCTGTAGTTTATTCAAAATTTTATTCAACAAGAAATAATTATTTCAATAAATGTTGGTTTCAAATATTCTCAGTAAATTTGGAAAATGAAGAGGTGTAATTTGGAAGAGAAAAAACTGATGAGTTCTGAGAGGAACTACCTGGAAGAGTTGTTTTTATATGTACAATATAAATTTGAGCCAGCTTTTTCAAAGAGCTGGAAGTCTACCAGTTTTCGAGAAAATGTCTCAATAAATAAAGGTGGGACACCCTGTAAATCAATCCATACATTGACATATGACACAGCTATATCCTCCATATTTCATTACCATGAGAAGAAAGTAATAAAGATGAATCAACCGGTATATGCTTATCTGTTCTTGTTCTCGATGACTCAGAATAAAAGCTAGATAATGCTGATCGCGAATGTGCAATATATAATGATTTCCGGTACACATTTGTGTCAATGTTATTAAGAAAAAATTGTTAGATTAAGTCTTTTTACACACATCTAGCCTGCCCGGGATGCCTCTCAGTCATTCAAAATCATCATTCGCTCGATTGCAAATTCCCACACGATTTCGAAAATCGCAAAAATCACACCAAACCCGGAATTTTCGAATTCCGAAATGGCATGAGAATTCAGACAAAAATTTTTCACCACTACGTAAACGGCTGACTGGCTTAATTTTGTTACCAGGCAAGCAAATTAAATTAAATAAAAAGGACTAATCAGTTTGATCTACTCGTCAACCCCAAAAAAAGTCAAGGAAAATCAATGAGGGTTATGGCATAAATAATATAATATATACAGTGACCCAAATTATTGAAACCTAAGTAAGGGTTCACAGGTTGCTAGGATATCATCCTACAAGGTATGAAGGTTTCCATACTTTCGAACTGCTCTGTATTAGAAAAAAGAAGCACAGGCTATTCCTCAAATTCGATATCACTATTAATATAGTAAAAGAAACACCCTATATAGGAGAAAATTCTATCATTATCAAATCCAACGCAGCAGTATCAATAATTTAAAATCATTATCAACAATAAAGTATCCAACTTAAACCTAATTCTGTACATTTCTGAAATAACTAAACAAGAAATAACCATGAATCAAACTGACCAGCATTCGACATCCAATAAACAATAACAGGCAAGCACACTTTTTCACACATAACCTCGCATACATCATTCATCCTCCGAGAGAAGACACGTTATCTCTGTTAATATAAGGCATCTGCTTTGGGTTCCATATCAGGGTCATAATTGGGTGGTGAACATTAGGGGGAAAGCGCTTTTTGAAAAAAAAAAAACGACTCAACAGGAGAATGACTGGCAAACAGTAACTGCATGAAACCGAATCAAGGTTCAAAATCATTCAGTTGTATACACATTTAAAATACCTTTCCAATGAGGTGTTACAAGACCTATTTATAATTTGATTTGGAAAACGGTTGAAAAAAAAATCAATTCATATTGAAAACACATTTGGCGGTTGAATAGCAGAGATTCACACCTTTTGAATGAGGAATAACTCACCTATACACTATTGGAACAAGTGAATTTGAATATGTCAGAGAGACGTTATCAACTTTGTTATCAGAGATGCCGAACAAGCCGAGTGATACCTTATTTCAAAGGCATTTCAATTCTCTATACATTGACGATGATTATTTTCAATTATATGTATGCATGTATGAAGAAAAACCGAATTCAATACTTGTAGAGGCCACTCATCTCTCTGAAATTGTAAATTCTATGCATAACGAACCCTATCATATATTTGTCTATGCCCGAGTAGTGAGATTGTAGATTGTATATGAAAAAAGTTGAGAATTGCCCGAACATCATCAATTTCAATGAGTTGAAAGCGGGCCACAATCATCAACTTCAAATGAACTGCACCACTGCATAGATAACTGAAATACCTACAAAATGAGGTGTCACTCGAACACACTTAGATTCACAATAAAAAAGTTGAAAGCGGCCTATAATCATCAACCTCAAATGAACTACACCGTTGTATAGATAACTAAAATATATGAAAAATGAGGTGTCACTCGAACACATTTCGATTCAAAATAAAAAAGTTGAAAGCAATCATCAACTTCAAATGAACTGCACCGTTGATATCACTCGAATAGCTTTGAGGTGAGGTGTCACTAGAACACGTTTGGACTCGAAATGAAAAAGTTGAGAATGTTCTGAAAATTATCAACTTCAAACAAACTGCAGCATTGTATAGATAACTGGAATACCTTTCCAATGAGGTGTCACTCGAACCCTGTTAGATTCAAAACAAAAAAGTTGAAAGCGGCGCCATACCCTTACCAAAAAACTGAATTAAGTGCTGTAAATGTCCCCTGACGATCGGATTTCATGAATTGTTTACTAGCCAGTCATTCCCCGTCGCTTTTTTTCTAAATTCACCTCTCACAACCAATGTCCGCTACCCCCACTACACCCCCACCCAGCGGCAGACGACTTATCAGAGAACGACGTCGGGCAGACTATGCGGCCACTAGGCGCGCGAATCGTTATCGTGGACGATCTTCCTCTCCTTGTAGTAGATCTCCTCGCTCTCCTTGTCGCACATTAGCAGGATGACGGCGCCGAAAAGGAAGATGGCCGCCCCCCAGCCGACGCCGTACGCCCAGCCGAACTCCCATATCGTCCGGTTACCTAAAAAAATAATAAAAATGATTATTTTTGTCACATGTCAAAATGTGACGTTTTCGTTTTTTCAACCAATATCAATGCTTGATGCTAGCCCATCAATTGGTATCATACTGATAATATGTTATTAGCAAATTACAGCGATAATCTTTTTCACATGTCAAAATGTGACGATTTCTTTGTTTCAACCAATAGCAATCCGTTATTCTAGCCAAGCAATTATACTGAATATTTCACTCATACAGTGTGTCACTTATAATGGAAACACCCCTGTATCTTACGTATTCTTTGGGTAGGGATCCTGAAATTTGCTGAAGCGAGAGATATACCAACAATGCACTCTATAACCAAGTAGGGTCATTTTCAGTGATATACACTGCTCGCCAACAGCAATGGAACCACCCCGATTTCCGGAAAATGATATAAGGAGTCGAAATAGGTTGAAAATCGCGTTGGAACCGGAATCAGGACGCCCTATTCAATTTCTATTTAAATTTTTCCTTGAACATTTTTTATCCTGAACATTTAATTTTCATCTCACTCTTCATGGAAACACCCCCCTATTTTCCGTAATCGTTGGATTAGGATCCTGGAATTTGCTGAAGTGAGGATATACCAAAAATGTACTCTATGACCAAGTATGGTCATATTCAGTGATATACATTGCCCGCCAACAGCCATGGAACTATACCAATTTCTGGAAACTGATATTAGGAAGCAAATAGGTTGCTAATCAGGACGCTGAATCAACTAATTATTCATACTTTTCCTGAAAAACATCAATTACGTAATTATCGAATTAGGATTGTTAAATTCCCAGGAGCGAGTAATATCCCGAAGATTCAGTCAATGACTAATTAAAATTAACACCTACATGTCCGGAAAATCATATTAGCAGAGAAGCAAGGTTGGAAGTACTCAAATTCCTCCTGAACAATTTTAAGTTCTGAAATAATAAATTATGTCTCACTTTTCAGGGAAGCACCCCATTCGTTATTATTGATGTAGAAGTCTGAAATATTCAGGAAAAAGAAAGAGTCCAATGACCAAGTAGGATCATCTTTAGTGATACACTGCTCACCAGCAGTCGCAGAACCACCGACATTTCTGGAGGAGAATTTATTAAATCGGAAAATTCACTCAATCGTTGTTCTGAAATTGATAATATTGAAGTAAGTTCTCATCAGCGAAAATGAAATAGGAATCAGAACTAGTACAATCGAATAGATTTTCAGGAGTGATCCAATGGATCAGAAATCATGACGGTTGTCATTGAAATGAATTATAAATGATTGAATTCGTTGATAGTATGAAGAACATCGTTATCGATAATGATTCGTCAAAATATGGAAAGTTAGTGAATTGGACGCCCGATTTTCGAATCCGAAGTGATTTACAATCTATCTTGTCTCTTGATATTATTTTAAGGACATGAGTGTAGTTCCACACTGTTGGCGAGCAGTGTGAATCACCGAAGATGATACCACTTGGTATATCTCTCGTTCCAGCAAATTTCAGGATTCTAACCCAACGATTACGTGAGATACGGGGGTGAAAAGTGAATGAATGAATTTTACAAAACTGAAAATTTTCCAGGAAAAATATAAATAGTTTGTGAAGTGGGCGTCCTGATTCCGAATTCGGAGTGCATTTCAACCTATTTCGACTCCTAATATTATTTTCCAGAAATTGGGGTGGTTCCATGGCTATAGCAGAGATTATAATGTATAATCTCTGGCTATAGACAAGCAGTGTAGATCACTAAAAATGACCCCTCTTGGTCATTAGGAGTATTTTTGGTATATCTCGTGCTCCAGCAAATTTTAGGATAAGGGCTATGCAATTATTGGAAACTTACAAGGGTAATTGCATTTGCAGATAGACTTCAAAAAGTGAAAGAAATGCATCGAGCATTTCTTTATTCGTGAAATATTGAGTCGTGCATAAAAATGATCAGATAATTTTACATTCAAGCGTGTTATCTTGTACAAATTGCATTCCTTCCTTCGGACTATGGCTCTTTCGCCAAAATATGCAAATAAACTCTTGCAACTCTTTCAGCTAACTCCGCTTTCTTGCAAAATTATCGGTAATTTTCATGACTTGTCCAATTATAACTGATAACACTGCATGGACCTCGATAATTTACATTAAACTGTCAAAACAAAACTTGATTTTCGTATTCTTCCAGGTATGTATGATGATGATGATTGAATCAATAGTATTCATCACTGGACTGAATAAAAACTATTGCTTTCATCAACAATATCATTTCTAGATTATATTTCAAAACTAATTTGACGTAACTGCTTTAATTATCTTCATATATCTACTTATAATATATGTGATGATTGAATGAGTAATAATGATTATTATTACTAAGCTGAATAAAAACGATCCCTTTCATAAACATAAATAATAGCATTCTTAGGTTTCAGTGATGACACCAAATACTAGCGTATATTGACAGGACGCAACAAATAATCCAAGCAAGCCAAGTCTACGTAAGTAGAAATACTTTGACTCGTGAAATATCCTTTCTTCTCAAATCGGTGAAGATAATCTTCCCAAATACACCCGTCACTCAAATTTTATCCGATAATTTTTTATTTTCATCATTCAAACGAAAAAAGTTATCGGAATTATTGAAGAAAATCATCGATAATATTTGATTCTCGTGGTATTACCTTCGATCATCAATATCAATATCAAATAAATGGAATTTCCTGTTGGAATAAACGAATTTCAACCTTACTTAACTGGTACACTTAATGAAGAACACGAAATTATATGATAAAATTTTGTAAATTGTATATACAGTCTAGAACAAGTCTTTGGGAGTTAATAAAATGCGAAATTACTAGAACTTTAGAGATTGCCATGTTCCTCAACAATTCCAAATAATGAATAGTCTTCTCTACGAACTTTAATCGCAGTGTGTTCTGAATTTCTATGCTCTGCACTTTCAAAGTTGTGAAATTAAATTATCCACAAAATCTTCGGGTTATTCCAGAAATTCGGTTTCCTGTCGAAATCAATTACGTTGGAAACAAAACAAGTGATTTTCATTTAGTCTACACTAAAGAGAGTGACTCACGTACACCGTACAGTGGAATGAGTTGAAAAAAAAATGAATTCACGGTTAACAGAAATTATCTCTGGAAGTTTTTAATACATGTGCTTAATGAATTTGAATTTCTGAATTGTTTTTCTATTTGCTCGAAACTTTAGGTGGGTTTGTTTGTATCGCACCTTGGAAAAAATCTTGCATTCCTGTCCCTTGATGTATAATGTACTATTGTTTACTAAGTTTGATCTGCTAAAATGTAAAGGAAAAATATTGGGTTTTGTTATAAAGAGTGCCTAAAAAATATCTCGAAAACAACAGTTATTCTGAAAAATATGAATCTAAATCTACACATCAATTTTTACAAAAATTATCGTAAAACCTTGGATAAAACAAAGTAATCAATTATAAAATTTAACAGCCGCCTACTGATAAAACGAAACTCACCCAAATTCAGCTCGGCTGCAAAGCACACTGGGTAGACGATCAACGCTATGAGAATGGAAACCACTGCAAAGAGAGAAAATCCACACGTTAATGCGTTCGGTTAAAGGCTAATGCCGCTAATGGGCCATACAAAGAACGTCAGAAAGGCCGCAAAATATCGGATGAAATTCGAACGAAATCGCATCAAACGAATTTTTGGGTTATTTCTCTATGTCGGACCTCGACAGTCGAATAATGTAAGAAAAATGGTGTTCATCACTCGCTCGGAAGTAAGATATCATTTTCTTCTCTCAAGATTTGTAAAACTTATACAGGGTGTATCTAAATAACACCAAAAAAATTCAAGGGGTGTTTCTTTCTGACATTCTAGAAAATAAAGTTCATATAGACATGTGTCCTAACTTGCTACATTTTTGAGATCCAGCATGTTGAAGTTGGGAGTAGATTAATTGTTTTCATTTATAACCCCTCTGTATAAGTTTTCATGTTGCCAAAATTCAGTATGGATGGAGACTGATGAAGCCCAAATCGAAATTTTATTGTTTCCTCAAAAACTAAGCTAGATACAAAAATCACACAGAGGATAAAAAAGTTGTTATTTTAATAGTTCAATCTGATAAAAATATAAAACACAGAAAAACCGGTGGTGTACAATGACATTCACAAAATTGCTCGCAATTTTCTCATGTCAGGTCTTCTCGTAAAAAAAATCGTCAACAAAATATATAACACAAGGTTATTAACTTTGTACTAATATTTTTGTCTTTAGGTAGAATGAATGATGTTTTTTGTAATCTTTTGGATCGCTCGTAAGGGGATCCGTATTATATTAGTAGAACATCGTGTGTATCTGATAGGATGGATAGAGAAGATAATAGGTATTGAATTTTTCTTCACCTTTTGAAGGTTATAAGTTTTTGAGAAAGAAACCCTCGAAGAAACCTGAGATGCAGTTGCAGTTCTATAGAAAAGCGAGTTTTGATAGATAGTTGTTCGATGAATCTCGAGATAAACGACAAAATGATGCGCTGACTCGTCTTGTCCCATGAATCGAAAAAAAAAATGCAGGTACTTACGTGCCAGTCCCATAACGATGACAGCGAATCTATAGTACTTGTACTTGGTGTGGTGTTCTTTCGTCCCGAGGCCTAGTCCCGTGAGAACGGTGGCAACTAGATCGGTGAGGAGAGTAATCACGCATAGGGTTGCTGAGGCTCTAATATAACCTAAGAAAAAATAATAATAATAAGTCAATACATTAATTCCGGAGAATAACGAATTGGCACAGTCGGTAGGACAGTCAATTATTTTTCTCAATGAAACAATCTGGTCTGTCTTATCACGAATATAATCACAATTCTCAATTGACATATCTAGAATCTTCCTGAATTGGAGCGATAAATAGAGTGGGTAATAGAACTAAGAGAAGAAGAAAATACCAAGAGCAACGAAAGAATCTTTTTTTTTTTTTCGACAAAATGGATATTTCATAGGATGTTCAATATTTGCCTGGAACTTTGGTGAATCAAAAAATGCTTTTTTGTCGAACTCTACAAAAAAATAGTTATTTGTTTCATTAGTACAAAAAATGACTGTTTTTGGGACGAATAAGAAGGTTGCCGGACGACGCGTAGCGGAGTACGGCAATCTTATGAGTCCCAAAAACGCATTTTTTGTACGAATGAAACACAATATTTTTTTTCCAACCACTTAAGTTTCAAAAATAACAAATTATATGTTCTGAAAATACCTACATGTAGTTATAGTGAATTTTAACGACCAAATTCCCTGTACAAATCTTTATTTCCGAAAATCAGGGCATTTTGTACAATTTTCCTTTCAATTTACATACCTAATATTGTTTAGAACAATAATAATCCATTGTAACAGTAAATACCATTCGAACAATTGGTGGAAAGTATTCAAACAAATCTTCAAAACTGAAAATAGATATTTTGTTGTTTACTCCTAAATATTTTGTTTAGAACAATAACTTATATTCACTGTTACGTTACAATTTGAACAATTGGATAATTGTATTGGTGGGTACGCAGATTGGTGAACAGCATCTGTGCTAGTACTTGGAGAATAATCCGTATTTATATTATTTTCCTGAACTGAGGAATTTAAAATTTTATTTGCAGTTTCTAGTTTGTTGTTGATGGATTCGTCTATATAGCCCTCAGCAACAGTAGATGAATGCCACCCTCCATGTCTTTTTAGGGCCGTTATATCTGCTCCAGCATTAACTAATAAAGTAGCAGACGTCCGCCTTAGGCAATGGCCAGTGTAAGCTTCAGAATTTTGTAAATTCAAATAAACAGCCACATCCTTTGCAGTAGATGCCAATTTATGAATGCCTACAACCTGTTTATGGCATTTCCCATTGGAGTATTTGATAAAAAATCTTGAATTATTCATATTACCCGGTCGAAGGGCTACATATTTCTTAAAGATTTTCAAATAATTATCACCCGTCACTGTGAAGGATCTAGGCCTGTTTGTCTTCGTTATAGGTATCTTTATTAATAAAGCGGATTCCAAGTCTTTAATGTCTTCTATTTTCATTTTTGATAATTCATCACGTCTTAATGCTCCAGCTACTCCAAAAATAAGCGCAACCTATAAATAAATGCAAAATTAATCCATGAAAGAAGTTTTTACTTAAAAAAAAATATATAAAAAAACCGTGCTAACGGGATTTGAACTCGGGATTTCCGCACCAGAGCTCAGTCTCTGACTACTAGGCTAATGAGGCCTATGTTAATATCTTTCGTGATTGTTATTCATAGCGTACACTTTTTTTCTCGTACATAATTTGAATACATATTTGAATATTCAACATTATTTTAATAAGATCAGTGAAAATTACTCCTTACCTTAGTCATCAGATATCTATGATCTGGTGCTTCAGAGATAAATCTATCAATCTCTTCTTTTGTCAGCGTTTTAGACTTTTTGGGTTGATATCCATTAGATTTACGCTTGAGATAAGGAACTAATTTGGAATAGTTGCCTATATTAATTCCATGATTAATGTTCAGAGTGGCTTTTAGCATTGAGTATTGACTCCACAAGGTGGATGGCTTCATTGTAGCAGATAAATCGGATAAATAAGATATGATAACATCTTCAGATAAAGATGATACCTTATTCGTTCTCTTCCAGTCCATAAACTTTCTGTAACTGTTTTCATATACAGTTTTAGATTTTCTTGGTAGCAGTTCTAAAGTGGCAATATTAGCCTTTTCTCTTATGTTTGGGGGAGTACATGATATATCACTATCGCTGTCACTATCCATCTTCATTTTAATTTTTGGTTCAAAATATGTGGGGTTTTGACAACTTGACGTTCTTTTTGGTACTGTACAAAAAAGAGTTTACTTTTCTGTACAATTGCCATGGAAACTTGGCAAATACCTAAATAGCCTACTTTTGGTATGAAAAATCATGAAATAATAACTTCATATTATAGTGGTTGGAAAAAAACACATTTTACGTTCTAATTTCCGAACGGAAAACCGACTATTTCCGAAGGCAAGTTCTTTTCGTCAGCAGGCACCAACTTTACGTCCGCAACAGAGTTGCCAGATCTACTGAATTTTCAATAGATCTCCTAATTTGCATATTGATCTACTGAAACATTTCATAATCTACAGAAAAATATTTTGACACTTATTTATTATTATGATTACCTATATTATTATTAATCTTTAGTCGACCACATACACTTATAAATAAATTGCATGATATTTCGGCACGATCTGTTTGATTTCATTTCACAAAATGAGTAATAAATGTACAGAATATCTTTGAGTATAATATATAGGTACTGATGATATGTATTAACTGAGGTATGAATCAAAGAAGAACACTATATCTGATTCAGATCAGATTCATTTCTTTATATACCTCTGTTATAACAGTTTGTTTCGCGCATTTAATTTTTTTTATTTGTATTTTAGTTGTTTATTTTGACTATTCGTTACTGTGTTTAATAAACTCAAATCTTATAAGTATATATCTATGTAACTATATTTCGTGATAGTTGTGTGAGTACTTTTGAATTGAGAATTAGGAATTAGGAATATGATCATTTTTGTATGGGAATGTTTGTTTGTTGTTTCTATTTTGTTGGAAATGGGTTACTTTTCTGTTTACTAAAAGTACATAATGTTTTAACGACATAGGTTCAATTCATTATCCTTTTTTGGAATTCGTATATCATAAAAAGATCTTGAACAGATCTATTGAAATCTACTGAATTTTTGGCAGGTATTTACTGATGAAATAAAAATCTAACTGGCAACCCTGGTCCGCGCGGAGAGTGAGTTGACAACAACTAATCCGATAGATCTTACGTGTGAATAGGAGCGTGATGTGAATATAAGTATGTAGTTGAGGTGACGAAAAAAATATAATGTACACCTCGGCGAAAAACCTTCTATTGTCTCGACTATAACAGTTTTTCGGCCTTGGTAAAAAAATAACTATTCATTGAGTTCGGTAATCACCCGTGGCTTACTCAATTTCCAACATTTATTGACAGCCATTGCTTTAGTGAATTCAGTAATAATGACAAAACTATTGAGTGATAATGCCTTTGATTTAGCGATGTTGCAGTATAATTATGCTAGTTGTTTCTTAATTCTTCAAGTTGTTTTATGTTTTCAATATAGATGTAGATAAAGTACAGTATATTTGTGCATAATGGATATCACCCACTCAGATGATTACAGCACTCGCCTTTGGTCCATACTGCAATTTTCATCTTCGTGAGTGATAGCCATGCCATCATTATGTGCTCGTTGAATAATGTACTATCATTGCAGAATAAGGTGCATTATATCATCTCATCTCATTGTATTTATGGCCGCAATTTTCGTAGAAACACGTACTCTGACGTAGGGCGTATCCAGGCGATTCTTTAGGGGGGGGCATAGAGTCACGGCTCATTTAGGATAGCAAAAGAGAGAGGAGTTTTCATTGGTGACTTCTGAGAAGGATGCATTTTCATTAAAAAGATTGATTTTAGTAAACACAAAATTAAATTCATCTCAAGGGAAAAAATATCAGAGCATACTCATAATATCAGATGAGTCATTTCATTAGTATTTTTTTTATTTCCAAAATTGCGGATCATTGATAAGCAGCTTTATGGCTTCGGGCGGTTTTCACGAAACCGCCCTGTATGTAGATTTCATTGATGAATACTTCTTAATATTGGTGAGAAAAAAGTACCTAAATAAAAAAATATTCCTCTTAACCCTCAACTGATATCGTGTTTTTTTCTCGAAACGTAAACGTGGGGTATTTCAACACCCCATTTTTTATTAGGAGATATACCGGGTGATTTTTGTTTCTATATATGAACAAATTAATTTCGGTGTGTGAGTATAGTTCATAAATATGCATTATTTGACGTATCCAACTGTTTTCTACTTCCGGTTTGACCCACATTTTCTTATTTTAAATCGAGCCACCGGTATATTAAATTTGTACTTATCTCGATAGAGAATAACATTGTGAGTGAAATGACATCCCATTTGCCACTTTTGACATTTTTCATCGTGAAATTTTCCATTTTCAATTTCCAATCTAGAGTGATTATGATACTGGATATTGATTCAAAATATCGATTATGTGGTATCAATGTGTTCGTAACAAAATACCCTGTGAAACAAATAAAAAGCAAAACGTCATCGAAACAACTTTTTGTAGGCAACATGATTCAAAATTAACTGTTGCAACTCATTCATGGCACTCTAGATTGGAAATTGAAAAAAAAAAATTTCATGATGATAAATGTCAAAAAGTGGCACATGTGGTTTCATTGTACTCACAATGTTATTATCTATCGAAATAAGTAAAAATATAACGGGTGTCCCATTTAAATAAGAAAATATGGCTAATTTCTCGTCGAACAGGAGGTGACAAAAAACAATTGAATACGCCAACTAATGCATATTTATGTACCATACTCGCACGCCGAATTTTATTTGTTTATCTGTATAAACAAGAGAGTTATAGAGGTGAGCCACTTCTTGAGAAACACCCGGTATACAATAAAAAACTCTTGTGAAAATATCTGATCATGAAAACTATGATCCTCAAAAAATCTCGATTCATATTTGAATCAACAATAAAATAAATATCTGGTATCGGTATTACAGGAGAGCAAAATAAAAATCCATATTCTTTGGAGGCTATAAAAATCACTTGAAATGTCGTGTGGAAAGTATAGTCACTATTGCAAGCTTGTTCTTCAGAGCTCACTATTGAGGTTTGTGATAAAAAAAAAGATAGTGAAATCGATAGTAAAAAAATTGACAGGGGTATAATTTGCACACCCCATATGCAATAACTCCTTATTTTTTTAAATCACAAATCACAAAAATCACCAAGTTAATTGAACTTATGATATTTTCGCATAATTATCACTAGTGGGGTGCCGAAACACGCCAAGATACCAGTTAATGGTTAACATTATTATTATTATTCGATATCTAATGTTGGTTGCAGGTGGATGGCCATAAGGACACCCAAAGAATCTTTTCTGGTATCTATCAGAATCGAGATCAGAATACCTACATTTCCACTAATTCCTCCTGGATTCTGGATCCGCCCCTGAATCTAACGAGTTCTTTGAATACCTTAATCCTTTTTAGATTAGTTGATCGATTAACTTAATTGGAATTTCTTTTCACTTCTGATTCATCCAAACCGTTGTGTTTGAGCAAAGTTTACTGATTTGTCAACCACACAAAACAAACAATGAAATAATATAAATATGTATCATAATCCCGATAAGGAAACAGTTTTATAGAGAATCAAACATCCTATTCATGTGATAAGAGCTGCATTACCTTTCCCACTGTATACACGGTGGTTTAAGATTGTCTTCCGATATTTATTTTTTTCGCCGATGATACCTACATTCAAAAAAAACCTAGAGAATAATATTTTTTATACCACGAAACATGGGTTATTTACGGATATTGCTGAAAGTCTCACTGCATATATCAAACTTCTAACTACTAACTCTCCGTGTGGTGGAGATGATTTTGAGATTTATTCTTCCTTCATAAAGGTTTTAATACAAAAACCTCATAAAGTTTACATGTAATGCGCGAAGTATTTACTTCGCGTATTGTTTTACTTCGCACATGGTGTCATGGTAACGTAGGAAACTAAGAAAAAGTGACACTTCGCATATTTCTATCAATGCACGAACCTTGTGATTTTTTGACGCTTGTAAAAAATTGCTATCTTTCTACAAACGTCGCGCATTGTATGTACTATATGAGTTTTTTGTATTTAAACTTTATGGTCCCCAAACGGGCAAGAAAACATTGATATCTGAATGTTTAACAATAGTTTCCTTATCCTTTGGAGCACACGAAAGTAAATTCCAATAATGTTGGAACATCGTGCGTACCTTGGGAGGATACGGAGATTCCTTTTGAGCCACTTCAACACTATTTTTCACATTAAGCTCATATAACTACTCACTGTTTGCAACTTGTGCGCGAAATACTATAGTTATCTCGAAAAATTTCAACTCGGCTGCGCCTCGTTACAAAAATCAGTTGTCGATCACCAAAGTAGCACTTCGCGCACTAGATACAAAAATACCTTTTCGTAATCCAGAGCGCCAAATTCTATTTTGGTGATCGATAATTGATATAGTCAGAGATCACCCAAGTATTCCGCTCACGAGTTTTTTTCTACAAGCGTTATAAAATATTGTTCTAAAATAAGTAATATGCTTATAGCTTAATATAAAAAACAGTGTTGAACTGGTTTGAAAAGCTCTAAGTATTGTTAAATGTTTTATGATTTCTTGGATTTGACGCACTGTTTCTCGCAAGGTGACATGGTAACGTAGGAAACTGAAAAAAAAATGGGTCAAATACTTCGCATTTTGTTATTAATGAGCGAACCTTGTCATTCTTTGACGTTTGTAGAAAAAATAAATTATTCAAATATGCATCCTCGATTGTTTCAATTTAATTCCTCAATATGTTCTGATTGTTGCTGTTCCTGCCAGGAAAGTATCTTCGTTCGACAAAAATTGTAACTTGTTTTTTTTTCGACTGACCTGCGTCTCTGGATTGATAACAGCCGGGAGGTTCTTGCATATTGAAGGGCAAGGGCTGAGGTGCTCCTTCTTCTATGCAATGCATAAACAGGCCTTGTCTCCATCCGGCAGCCATCAGCCAATCGGTAGAAGCAAGACCCATTATCATCAGAATTATGACTATGAGGCCGCAGATGAAGGCTATCACCTGAAAATAAAAATTAGAAAAAATGAATAGGAGAAGAGCATTGACAGTTTGAAGTGGATCAACTTATTTGCCTATACTACAAGTAGGTATATATTGAAATATCGATTGAAATAATAAGTACTCTAATTTTTCCATTTTCATGTTGAAAACGGGAGCAGATTCGTTCCCAAAACGTCCAAAGATAAGTGACAGTTAATATTTCGAAATATTCCTGTATCCTCTTCTAAACATTTTCGAAATAAGATGTCATTGATTATCCATTGATTGTCTCTTTTAGGTCTCCGATAGTGCAATAAGAAGAGTATCGACCTCGGTATTGGCAGTTTTGGTGGATCAACTTATTTGCATATACTACAGGTCAAATCTCGATTGAAATAATAGGTCGTAACGATGAGAGAAAATCACCATAAAAAATTGGAGAAATAGACACTTATCAATCCTCTGAATATTCACGAACAATACAAAGTTGAGAAACTAACATCTTATCCACCCAGTATGAGATATAACTTCGGTTCATTCAGCAGGTATAATAATGGAATTTCAATGACACAGAAGCTGGAAATTCCAGGGGATTTCATAAATTCGTTCTTTCAGGTAGAGGCGAAAAGGTCTCATCAAAATAATATATTTTCTGAGTAATCACGGAATTTCATTATGGAACGAACGAACGGATTTGAGGAATGAAAAGATGCAAAGAAAGCTTTGAGAAGAAAGTCAATTGATGTGCTTCGAATATTGTATAATCGTGTATAATATAAAACTTTTGAGGCATCATTCAACTTGTTTGAGGTATAATTTGTTTATGACAGAAGAGCTCGAGAGAAAAAATCATCTCATTTAGCTGAGAGATTTCTGCAACATTGATTGAAATTCATCCAACATGTAGGTAATAGGTAGATTCAAAGAAAGTATCGAAAAATAAAATTTGGGACTACACACAAAGTTATACTATAATATAGCGAGCTATACCGGGTGTCAACGAATCTATACAAGTCATAACTTCTAGACCATTAGGTGTATCAAAATGAGATTTGGTATAGGTAAATGGTATGTGGAGAGGAGAGTTTTCACATATTTTTCACTTCCCGGTCACTTCCGGTATCACCGGAAATGGCTCCGGTTCTAAATTTTTAAATAGAACACTTTGTATATTGTAACATTTTTGGATTTCTGAGACAATTCCAGATCAGAATGTGACATTTCCGAGAGTTTTTATGCCTACTCAATTTTTTCGGAGTCACTTTTGAAATTACATCTAGGTGGCCATGATCGGAAGTAAACTAATCTAAGGACCTCAGGTAATATCAGAAAATTACAATCGCGAAGTTTTAGTGACAAGTATGATTGCTATGAATAAGACAAGTTGGCAAAATTACATTTTCGTGTCTAACTATTATTTTTCAAATGGCGACCATTTTTTGACAAGCACTTTCCGAAAGAAGGATATTTTGACGAATCTAGCGATACTAATTTATTTGCGATTGGATTACAAATAAGAAAACAAATTAAATATTACTGACGAAAATACTTCATGATAATTTATTTACTTTTGTCAAATGTGCCATAGATAATAATTCATTTACTTTTGTAAGCACTTCCCGAAAAAGGGATATTTTGACGAATCTAACGATACTAATTTATTAAATTAACAAAATTAACAATAACTTCAGCGATGCACTTACATTTTTTTCAATTTCCTAATTTCTTGAAATTTCCACTATAGTGAATTTTCAAAGTGCATTCCTTTTTGTTCAATACACATTTCAGCTCGTTCAATTGTTTCTCTCAACATACCTAAAATACTGATGGAATGGATGTTGCCCATTTGGATATCTCTGAGCATACAACTCAGCAGCATTCCTTGAATTTCTGTGACATTCTCCAAACAATAACAACATATCCACTTTTTCACTCTCCCGGTGCAGGATTGCCAGTTTTACTGAATTTTCAGTAGAACTCTTGATTTGCATATTGATATACTGATCTAATGAAATATTTCATAATCTACCGAAAAATATGTCAACACTTATTCATCATTATAATTACCTGAATTATTATTAAACATTTTTCATCGATATAGTGAAGATATTGATATCTATTTTCACACAGTTGATGATATTTCAAAACATTTTGTTAATGCTGAATCACAAATCAGGAGTTTATTGTATTTCTTGCTCGGGTCCAAATTGAAATGCTCAATATGTTGAACAAAGTGGTAGAAAAATCTCAACCGGAGTCACAGAACATGTAAAGTTCATTGAAAAATCCAAGAATACACTCCCTTCGTTTTATGAATATGATACAAAAAGTTATTGAATTTACTGGAAATTTTCGAAATAACTTATCCCTAAATAATAATTCTGTCTTGTCTCTTGACGAACAAAGACATTTTGACTGTATTGAACTTTTTGATGCTTTGGATTCATCAGCTATTATAACATGCCCTGTGTCGGCGGAATTTCATGTTTTGTCCCTTGACATTGACTGAATTATGTCAACGTCTTGTCTACGTCATTATTTGACATTATTTTCAGTGCTTTCTAACCCCATTAGTTTAGATTCAAACTCGTGCAGGTTGTTTGCCCCATTAATTTTATTGATATTTTTCGCGCTTTCACAAGGACACCGGGATCCCCTTTTGTAAAAACCCGTTAATTTATGGTGTCAATTCTTTTTGGCAATCACCCTTCATATACCATTTTGATAGATGAAATTTCGAAATTATGAACTGTATGCGTTCTCAGGGCACGGGGCCCTTCATTTATTGAGAACCCGCTTAATTACTTATAAACTCAATTTTTCGACTGTGGACCTTGAAACAATTTTAGAGCTAGTAGCATCACTTTTTTCCAACTCCAAGTTGGAACAAATAATGTAATTCTTGCACATCAATCTTTTTGTATTGTAGAACTTTTAATTAGGCTGAAGATGGTCTTTTATAAGAGAGAAACATGTCCCTTCTGATTGTGTAACAACACCCGAGACAACACCATTAAAATTTGTGCAACATGGGATTCTACTAAAGATTATATTTTTTGTTGATTTTAATGAATAAAATGTGTCATTGAAGTACATACAACGTGAGTATATAAAGTGTCCAATAATGAAAAGAGAAGTAAAGGGCAAGTATAGTTGCAAATGCGATCCAAGATGGGTGGCAAAAGAAGGTGAAATTTTGAACTTTAACGTGGAACATCTCGATAAATAGTGGTTTGTTCACAATTTCATTGTGAAATTCGTGATTTTCAGACGAAAATACGCAAGTAAAAAAAAACTTCGAGAAGAAAACCCATCGCAAGATAAGTGCAAAATTACCATTTTTGGAAATAATAATTATTCTCACCTTTCGATATCTATGCTTTTGAGCAGCCAACCGGATAGTCAATTTATCACCCATCACGACTACTACAAAAAACTAGGTATAGAGGAATTTGAATTTTTGATCGAATAACAAAAAGTTATACATTAACTGCCAAATCACTTAACTACAGCATTACAGGTATCAGAAGCACATCAAAAACCGATCAGAATTGTCACTCCATTAGTTTAGAAACCCAATCACGGAATTCCTCTCCTCTACCAAAATCAAGTAGCCGATGCACACTGACTGAGTTACCTATCCAACGAAGTAAACACCGTCAAAGAAACAAACGAACAGTCATAAAACGTGACTGCATTTCAACGCCAGTGACAAAACAGTGAGTAAACACACTCCACGCCGTATCTAGAGTGTAGTTTACACGCTGGCATTCCGATTGTTTTTTCTTGAGTCAGCTCTCCAGCTTATCACTTGTTGCGTCGACCAATGGGGTGGCTGCAATCGGTGACTAAGCGACGTTTGTTTGTTTGGGGCATTTTTATGGGTGCGACATATAAGCATATAAGTACAGTGACCGATAGGGAACTGAACGTTTTCAATAACAATAACACATATTTTTGTGAACGGGAATAGCATCTAGAAACAGTGGCGCGAAAGATGCAGCTTTTTCCATTTTCAAAAAGAAATTGAACTTCCCCGGAAGCTTAGAGCACCTCTGTTTAATTCAGACATTTTTTTCTAAATATACCTGCAATCGTCAAATGGGCTCATATCACAAAAACGATTATTTCATAATTCGATAGAACTCACCCAAACTACTCAAACTAGCTCACCACCGCAAACCGTTTCTTGCTGTGAGCTCCCTACGTTTCATAAAAAATTATTGGAATCCCTGATTTTTCGGACCTCTGAAAACGAGGCGATGATGTGACGTCAAAACCCTAATACTGAAACAAGACTATTCCAGACAGAAATGAATGAGACATGATTTCTGACAGAGTGAATAGCGCGAGATCACAGCTGAAAGAATTAATATATCAGTTGCCTCAGTCTCCGTCGGTCGTTTGGTATTTTCTTTTAACTATGGCGAGATGAGGTTTCTACGTCATAAGAGGGTCCGTTTTCGGAAGGTACTATTATTTATGTCCAAAAATAAAACATTCCAGTTAACTTTTCGATTGAATTATGTCGTCAATCATTATTAATGTATCAAAGGATCACTATAAACATGGTTTGAGTTAAAAGTTCTATTAAGGTGTACACGCCCATTATAATCATTTGGAATAATGAAAAAATACTTTTCGATATAACTTTTATGCCAAATTGTTGGAGAAGAAATTACAACTCTTTCGTACTATGTCTTCATCGGAGCCACTACTTCCAACAATTATCAAATAAAATGTGCTATATTGAAGTTGCACCCTATACCGGCTGACAATAGAGGGTATATATCGTACCACCCCTGTAACTTCTGCATTCGTGAACGGATTTTTGTAAAATTTGTTACAGTTCATTAAGCAACCATTTCGGATTTGATATCGTTAAAATCCAATATGAAGAACTTCCGGTTTTTCTGGAAATGCCAGCAACTTTGTTTTTTCAAATGGAACACGCAGTATATTTTTACATATTCAAGTTCAACAGGTCGAAACAAGTGCAATCTTTATGTCAAACGTAATTTTTTCGG